AGACTATAGACTAGACTATAGACTAGACTATAGACTAGACTAGACTAGACTATAGACTAGACTATAGACTAGACTATAGACTAGACTATAGACTAGACTATAGACTAGACTATAGACTAGACTATAGACTAGACTATAGACTAGATTATAGACTAAACTGCAGACTAGACTATAGACTAAACTATAGACTAGACTATAGACTAGACTATAGACTAGACTATAGACTAGACTATAGACTAGACTATAGACTAGACTATAGACTAGACTATAGACTAGACTATAGACTAGACTATAGACTAGACTATAGACTAGACTATAGACTAGACTATAGACTAGACTATAGACTAGATTATAGACTAGACTGCAGACTAGACTATAGACTAAACTATAGACTAGACTATAGACTAGATTATAGACTAGACTGCAGACTAGACTATAGACTAAACTATAGACTAGACTATAGACTAGACTATAGACTAGACTATAGACTAGACTATAGACTAGACTATAGACTAGACTATAGACTAGACTATAGACTAGACTATAGACTAGACTATAGACTAGACTATAGACTAGACTATAGACTAGAATATAGACTAGACTATAGACTAGACTATAGACTAGACTATAGACTAGACTATAGACTAGACTATAGACTAGACTATAGACTAGACTATAGACTAGACTATAGACTAGACTATAGACTAGACTATAGACTAGACTATAGACTAGACTATAGACTAGACTATAGACTAGACTATAGACTAGACTATAGACTAGACTAGACTATAGACTAGACTATAGACTAGACTATAGACTAGACTATAGACTAGACTATAGACTAGACTATAGACTAGACTATAGACTAGACTATAGACTAGACTGTAGACTAGACTATAGACTAGACTATAGACTAGACTATAGACTAGACTATAGACTAGACTATAGACTAGACTATAGACTAGACTATAGACTAGACTATAGACTAGACTATAGACTAGACTATAGACTAGACTATAGACTAGACTATAGACTAGACTATAGACTAGACTATAGACTAGACTATAGACTAGACTATAGACTAGACTATAGACTAGACTATAGACTAGACTAGACTATAGACTAGACTATAGACTAGACTATAGACTAGATTATAGACTAGACTGCAGACTAGACTATAGACTAAACTATAGACTAGACTATAGACTAGACTATAGACTAGACTATAGACTAGACTATAGACTAGACTATAGACTAGAATATAGACTAGACTATAGACTAGACTATAGACTAGACTATAGACTAGACTATAGACTAGACTATAGACTAGACTATAGACTAGACTATAGACTAGACTATAGACTAGACTATAGACTAGACTATAGACTAGACTATAGACTAGACTATAGACTAGACTATAGACTAGACTATAGACTAGACTATAGACTAGACTATAGACTATAGATTATAGACTAGACTGCAGACTAGACTATAGACTAAACTATAGACTAGACTATAGACTAGATTATAGACTAGGACTGCAGACTAGACTATAGACTACACTATAGACTAGACTATAGACTAGACTATAGACTAGACTATAGACTAGACTATAGACTAGACTATAGACTAGATATAATAGACTAGACTAGACTATAGACTAGACTATAGACTAGACTATAGACTAGACTATAGACTAGACTATAGACTAGACTATAGACTAGACTATAGACTAGACATAGACTAGACTATAGACTAGACTATAGACTAGACTATAGACTAGACTATAGACTAGACTATAGACTAGACTATAGACTAGACTATAGGACTAGGACTATAGACTAGACTATAGACTAGACTATAGACTAGACTATAGACTAGACTATAGACTAGACTATAGACTAGACTATAGACTAGACTATAGACTAGACTATAGACTAGACTATAGACTAGACTATAGACTAGACTATAGACTAGGACTATAGACTAGACTAGCTAGACTATAGACTAGACTATAGACTAGACTATAGACTAGACTATAGACTAGACTATAGACTAGACTATAGACTAGACTATAGACTAGACTATAGACTAGACTATAGACTAGACTATAGACTAGAACTTAGACTAGACTATAGACTAGACTATAGACTAGACTATAGACTAGACTATAGACTAGACTATAGACTAGACTATAGACTAGACTATAGACTAGACTATAGACTAGACTATAGACTAGACTATAGACTAGACTATAGACTAGACTATAGACTAGACTATAGACTAGACTAGACTATAGGACTAGACTATAGACTAGACTATAGACTAGACTCTAGACTAGACTATAGACTAGACTATAGACTATAGACTAGACTATAGACTAGACTATAGACTAGACTAGACTAGACTATAGACTAGACTATAGACTAGACTATACTAGACTATAGACTAGACTATAGACTAGACTATAGACATAGACTAGACTATAGACTAGACTATAGACTAGACTATAGGACTAGTCTATAGACTAGACTATAGACTAGACTATAGACCAGACTATAGACTAGACTATAGACCAGACTATAGACTAGACTATAGACTAGATTAAAGACCAGACTATAAACTACACTATAGACCAGACTATATACTAGACTATAATGTAATCTATTTACTATATTTACTATTGCTTCTTCCACAGTTTGTCATGGAAAATTATTGGCAAAAAAAAATTATAATAAAATAAAGTACTATTTTGTTTATTTATTGTTTCATTTTGTACAGAAAAATAAAATAAAATATTAATTTGTTTATAAATAGTTTGCAAATAAAAAACAAAACTCAACAACAACTCTAACAATTGATCAAAAACAATTAAAAGTTTGTTTTTCAATTGTTGAAAAACTACAAAATATTGACAAAGACTACAACTAGAACTAATAATAAATTAATTGAATTTAATAATCAAAAGCTCTATATTACAACAATTAGAAAGCTAAACAATTGTTTTAACATTTACTACCGCAATATCGATTTTTATCTTAAAAACAACAAAATTTTTCATATAAAATGCTTAACTCTAGCGGAGAAGCTAATAGTTTATTATAAACTTTATAACATGAGACAGGTTTTGAAATATATTTTAGTTTTGGTGGCCGGTTTCGGATTACTGAAAGCTCAAAGGAACCACATTTTGTGGATAATCGTACAACTATAGTGCATTTGTTTGAATGGACCTGGTCGGATATAGCCAAGGAGTGTGAGGATTTCTTAGGTCCTCAAGGCTATGGAGGAGTGCAGGTTTGTGGAGACTACCTAAAGCTGAAATTTTTTGTTTAATTAGGATATTATTTTTCCTCTAGATTTCTCCCCCCAATGAGGTCAGCGATATAGAGGGAGGTCCTTGGTGGGCTCGCTATCAACCAGTATCCTATATACTCATCTCCAGATCAGGTGATGATAATGATTTAGCTGATATGATTAAACGCTGTAATGATGTGGGTGTTCGCATTTACGTGGATATTGTTGTTAACCATATGACCGGCTATAAAGAAGGTGAAACTTATGGTACTGCCGGTTCTTCGGCCAATTACGGTGAAAGCAGTTATCCTGCTGTGCCTTATGGCAAAGAAGACTTTCATGCTCCCTGTGATATACAAGATTATCAAAATGCTGAACAAGTTAGAAATTGTCAATTGGTCACTTTAATTGATTTAGATCAAAGTGTACCACATGTAAGGGAAATGATTGTGAATTATTTGAATAAATTGGTGGATATGGGCGTGGCTGGTTTTCGTATGGATGCTGCTAAACATATGTGGCCTGAGGATTTGGAAGCTATTTATGCTGATTTGAATGATTTAAATGAAGATTTTGGCTTTGCAGCCAATTCAAGACCTTATATCTATCAAGAGGTTATTGATTTGGGTGGAGAGGCCGTCAAAAGTAAGTAAAAGTCGGAAAGTTTCTCAACTATATATATACAAAAGTAATCTGTTGGGACAATAGGAACATAAGAAACTTTTTCTAAAGAAAATTATCTGTTGTAGGAGAAAAGTAGTCTGTTGTCAGAGCAACTTTATATATATAATAATGGTCCTATTTCATATTTCCAGAACCGAATATAATCACCCTGGGCGCTGTTACCGAATTCAAATTCTCCAATGAAATTGGTCGCCTTTTCCGCAATAAAAATTCTTTAAAATATTTAAGAAACTGGGGTCCTGAATGGAGCATGTTACCTTCTGAAGATGCCATAGTATTTGTCGACAATCATGATAACCAAAGAGGACATGGGGCTGGCGGAGCTGATATTTTAACCTACAAGGAACCAGAACTTTATAAATTAGCTTTGACCTTTATGTTGGCTCATCCTTATGGCAAAGTTACACGGGTAATGAGTTCTTATGCTTTCACCGATACCGATCAGGGACCACCTATAACCGAGGAGGGCAACATAAGAGCTCCTGAATATTTGGAAAATCAATTATGTGATACTGATAATGTGGGTTGGGTGTGTGAACATCGTTGGCCGGAAGTACATCAAATGGTTAAATTCCGTAATGTGGTAGGTCAAGAGCCCTTGGAGAACTGGTGGGAGAATGGAGAAAATCAAATTGCTTTCTCACGTGGCAATTTGGGATTTGTGGCTTTTAATTTGGAAGAGGATATAGAGCTTAAAGCTTTACTACAGACTGGTTTGCCTCATGGCACTTATTGCGATATTTTGTCGGGTTCTAAACAAGATAACCGTTGTACTGGTCTGATGGTGCATGTCAATGAGCAGGGTTTGGCAGAGATTGTTTTACCTGAAGGACATCAGGCTTTGGCTATTTATATTGATTCAAAATTGGATTGCGAAAAACATGATTTTTAATCACTTTTAGACAACCAGTGTGAACGCTTTAAAGATTTTCTTTATTTTTTTAAATTTGTTGTTGTTTTATTAACTTAAATAAAAATTCTTATCAGTTGTTTATATTTCAGTTTTAATTAAATCAAAATTTTTTTAAATTATTAATTAGTCGCTTGTTAGCACTTGAGGCTTGAATACACAAACATCTAGCTCTAAGATGTTTAAAATATTTCAAATAGTTTTCGTATTTATAACTGTTTATTGCACTTTTTGGGTAAAGTGTCAAAAAGAACCACATTTTCTAGGAAATCGCTCTAGTATAGTGCATCTTTTCGAGTGGACTTGGCGTGATATAGCCAAAGAATGTGAAGATTTTTTGGGTCCTCAGGGGTATGGGGGTGTGCAGGTAAGTTTGTTTTAGCAGTAAAGATAAGAATCTATATAAACACTCTCTCTGTCTCTATAGATTTCTCCTCCTAATGAAGTGCGTGAGATAGAGGGTAATCCCTGGTGGGCACGTTATCAGCCACTCTCTTATATACTCACTTCCCGTTCGGGTAATCAAGCTGACTTAAGCAATATGATAGAACGTTGCCATAAAGCTGGTGTACGCATTTACGTAGACATAGTAATGAATCATATGACTGCTTATGCTGAGGGCGATTCTATTGGCACAGCCGGTTCACGCTGTAATTACAATAAACGTACTTATCCAGCGGTACCCTATGGTTCCAATGATTTTCATACTCCATGTAATATAAAAAATTATCAAAATGCTTCCGAAGTAAGAAATTGTCAATTAAATACTCTATTGGATTTAAATCAAACTATACCTCATGTACGTGACATGATTATCAATTACATGAATAAATTGGTGGATTTAGGAGTGGCTGGTTTTCGTATCGATGCTGCTAAACATATGTGGCCAGCAGATTTACAGATTATTTATGGCAGATTAAAACCTTTGAATGAAAAGTTTGGTTTTACGAAGAATAGCTGGCCTTATATTTATCAAGAGGTCATTGATCTAGGGGGTGAGAGTATAAAGAAGTGAGTATTTTAGAAACTAACTGGTAGCAGCAAGTTTTATATAGAAAATCTTACTCTGGCAACAGACAAAAGTTGCTCTGACAACAGATAGCTATTCTATAGAAAAAGTTGCTTCGCTCTAGTCTAGTCTATAGTCTAGTCTATAGTCTAGTCTATAGTCTAGTCTATAGTCTAGTCTATAGTCTAGTCTATAGTCTAGTCTATAGTCTAGTCTATAGTCTAGTCTATAGTCTAGTCTATAGTCTAGTCTATAGTCTAGTCTATAGTCTAGTCTATAGTCTAGTCTATAGTCTAGTCTATAGTCTAGTCTATAGTCTAGTCTATAGTCTAGTCTATAGTCTAGTCTATAGTCTAGTCTATAGTCTAGTCTATAGTCTAGTCTATAGTCTAGTCTATAGTCTAGTCTATAGTCTAGTCTATAGTCTAGTCTATAGTCTAGTCTATAGTCTAGTCTATAGTCTAGTCTATAGTCTAGTCTATAGTCTAGTCTATAGTCTAGTCTATAGTCTAGTCTATAGTCTAGTCTATAGTCTAGTCTATAGTCTAGTCTATAGTCTAGTCTATAGTCTAGTCTATAGTCTAGTCTATAGTCTAGTCTATAGTCTAGTCTATAGTCTAGTCTATAGTCTAGTCTATAGTCTAAGTTCTAGTCTATAGTCTAGTCTATAGTCTAGTCTATGTCTAGTCTATAGTCTAGTCTATAGTCTAGTCTATAGTCTAGTCTTAGTCTAGTCTATAGTCTAGTCTAGTCTAGTCTATAGTCTAGTCTATAGTCTAGTCTATAGTCTAAGTCTATAGTCTAGTCTCTAGTCTAGGTCTATAGTCTAGTCTATAGTCTAGTTCTATAGTCTAGTCTATAGTCAGTCTATAGTCTAGTCTATAGTCTAGTCATCTAGTCTAGTCTAGTCTAGTATAGTCTAGTCATAGTCTAGTCATGTCTAGTCTATAGTCTAGTCTATAGTCTAGTCTATAGTCTAGTCTATAGTTAGTCTATAGTCTAGTCTATAGTCTAGTCTATAGTCTAGTCTATAGTCTAGTCTATAGTCTAGTCTAGTCTATAGTCTAGTCTATAGTCTAGTCTATAGTCTAGTCTATAGTCTAGTCTATAGTCTAGTCTATAGTCTAGTCTATAGTCTAGTCTATAGTCTAGTCTATAGTCTAGTCTATAGTCTAGTCTATAGTCTAGTCTATAGTCTAGTCTATAGTCTAGTCTATAGTCTAGTCTATAGTCTAGTCTATAGTCTAGTCTATAGTCTAGTCTATAGTCTAGTCTATAGTCTAGTCTATAGTCTAGTCTATAGTCTAGTCTATAGTCTAGTCTATAGTCTAGTCTATAGTCTAGTCTATAGTCTAGTCTATAGTCTAGTCTATAGTCTAGTCTATAGTCTAGTCTATAGTCTAGTCTATAGTCTAGTCTATAGTCTAGTCTATAGTCTAGTCTATAGTCTAGTCTATAGTCTAGTCTATAGTCTAGTCTATAGTCTAGTCTATAGTCTATAGTCTAGTCTATAGTCTAGTCTATAGTCTAGTCTATAGTCTAGTCTATAGTCTAGTCTATAGTCTAGTCTATAGTCTAGTCTATAGTCTAGTCTATAGTCTAGTCTATAGTCTAGTCTATAGTCTAGTCTATAGTCTAGTCTATAGTCTAGTCTATAGTCTAGTCTATAGTCTAGTCTATAGTCTAGTCTATAGTCTAGTCTATAGTCTAGTCTATAGTCTAGTCTATAGTCTAGTCTATAGTCTAGTCTATAGTCTAGTCTATAGTCTAGTCTATAGTCTAGTCTATAGTCTAGTCTATAGTCTAGTCTATAGTCTAGTCTATAGTCTAGTCTATAGTCTAGTCTATAGTCTAGTCTATAGTCTAGTCTATAGTCTAGTCTATAGTCTAGTCTATAGTCTAGTCTATAGTCTAGTCTATAGTCTAGTCTATAGTCTAGTCTATAGTCTAGTCTATAGTCTAGTCTATAGTCTAGTCTATAGTCTAGTCTATAGTCTAGTCTATAGTCTAGTCTATAGTCTAGTCTATAGTCTAGTCTATAGTCTAGTCTATAGTCTAGTCTATAGTCTAGTCTATAGTCTAGTCTATAGTCTAGTCTATAGTCTAGTCTATAGTCTAGTCTATAGTCTAGTCTATAGTCTAGTCTATAGTCTAGTCTATAGTCTAGTCTATAGTCTAGTCTATAGTCTAGTCTATAGTCTAGTCTATAGTCTAGTCTATAGTCTAGTCTATAGTCTAGTCTATAGTCTAGTCTATAGTCTAGTCTATAGTCTAGTCTAGTCTATAGTCTAGTCTAGTCTATAGTCTATAGTCTAGTCTAGTCTATAGTCTAGTCTAGTCTATAGTCTAGTCTATAGTCTAGTCTATAGTCTAGTCTATAGTAAGTCTATAGTCTAGTCTATAGTCTAGTCTAGTCTATAGTCTAGTCTATAGTCTAGTCTATAGTCTAGTCTATAGTCTAGTCTATAGTCTAGTCTATAGTCTAGTCTAGAGTCTAGTCTATAGTCTAGTCTATAGTCTAGTCCATAGTCTAGTCTATAGTCTAGTCTATAGTCTAGTCTATAGTCTAGTCTATAGTCTAGTCTATAGTCTAGTCTATAGTCTAGTCTATAGTCTAGTCTATAGTCTAGTCTATAGTCTAGTCTATAGTCTAGTCTATAGTCTAGTCTATAGTCTAGTCTATAGTCTAGTCTATAGTCTAGTCTATAGTCTAGTCTATAGTCTAGTCTATAGTCTAGTCTATAGTCTAGTCTATAGTCTAGTCTATAGTCTAGTCTATAGTCTAGTCTATAGTCTAGTCTATAGTCTAGTCTATAGTCTAGTCTATAGTCTAGTCTATAGTCTAGTCTATAGTCTAGTCTATAGTCTAGTCTATAGTCTAGTCTATAGTCTAGTCTATAGTCTAGTCTATAGTCTAGTCTATAGTCTAGTCTATAGTCTAGTCTATAGTCTAGTCTATAGTCTAGTCTATAGTCTAGTCTATAGTCTAGTCTATAGTCTAGTCTATAGTCTAGTCTATAGTCTAGTCTATAGTCTAGTCTATAGTCTAGTCTATCTATAGTCTAGTCTATAGTCTAGTCTATAGTCTAGTCTATAGTCTAGTCTATAGTCTAGTCTATAGTCTAGTCTATAGTCTAGTCTATAGTCTAGTCTATAGTCTAGTCTATAGTCTAGTCTATAGTCTAGTCTATAGTCTAGTCTATAGTCTAGTCTATAGTCTAGTCTATAGTCTAGTCTATAGTCTAGTCTATAGTCTAGTCTATAGTCTAGTCTATAGCTAGTCTATAGTCTAGTCTATAGTCTAGTCCTATAGTCTAGTCTATAGTCTAGTCTATAGTCTAGTCTATAGTCTAGTCTATAGTCTAGTCTATAGTCTAGTCTATAGTCTAGTCTATAGTCTAGTCTATAGTCTAGTCTATAGTCTAGTCTATAGGTCTAGTCTATAGTCTAGTCTATAGTCTAGTCTATAGTATAGTCTATAGTCTAGTCTATAGTCTAGTCTATAGTCTAGTCTATAGTCTAGTCTATAGTCTAGTCTATAGTCTAGTCTATAGTCTAGTCTATAGTCTAGTCTATAGTCTAGTCTATAGTCTAGTCTATAGTCTAGTCTATAGTCTAGTCTATAGTCTAGTCTATAGTCTAGTCTATAGTCTAGTCTATAGTCTAGTCTATAGTCTAGTCTATAGTCTAGTCTATAGTATATTCTATAGTCTAGTCTATAGTCTAGTCTATAGTCTAGTCTATAGTCTAGTCTATAGTCTAGTCTATAGTCTAGTCTATAGTCTAGTCTATAGTCTAGTCTATAGTCTAGTCTATAGTCTAGTCTATAGTATATTCTATAGTCTAGTCTATAGTCTAGTCTATAGTCTAGTCTATAGTATATTCTATAGTCTAGTCTATAGTCTAGTCTATAGTATAGTCTATAGTATAGTCTATAGTATAGTCTATAGTCTAGTCTATAGTCTAGTCTATAGTCTAGTCTATAGTCTAGTCTAGTCTATAGTCTAGTCTATAGTCTAGTCTATAGTCTAGTCTATAGTCTAGTCTATAGTCTAGTCTATAGTCTAGTCTATAGTCTAGTCTACAGTCTAGTCTATAGTCTAGTCTATAGTCTAGTCTATAGTGTAGTCTATAGTCTAGTATATAATCTAGTCTATAGCCTAATCTATAGTCTGTTATATCTTTATTTCTACCAGGACCGAATACTCTCCGTTGGGTGCTGTCACTGAATTCAGGTACTCTACCGAGATTGGCAAAATCTTTCGCGGTAAAAACTCTTTAAAATACCTCCGTAATTGGGGTCCTGAATGGGAGATGTTGCCCTCCAACGATGCTTTAGTATTTGTAGACAATCATGATAACCAAAGAGGACATGGTGCTGGTGGTGCTGATATTTTAACTTTTAAAGAACCAGAACTTTATAAAATGGCTGTAACATTCATGTTGGCCCATCCTTATGGCAAGGTGTCTCGAATAATGAGTTCTTATGCTTTCACCAATACCGATCAAGGACCACCTTTAGACAATAAGGGACATATAAAACCTCCTACATTCCTTAAAAACCAGCTTTGTGATGTTGAGAACTCCGGCTGGATATGTGAACATAGATGGCCGGAGGTTAAGGAAATGGTAAAGTTCCGCAATTTTGTGTTGGGTGAAGCTTTAGAGAATTGGTGGGAAAATGGTGAAAATCAAATAGCTTTTTCAAGAGGTCATAAGGGTTTTGTGGTGTTTAATATGGAGATGCAGAAAGAATTGAAGGCTGCCATACAAACTGGTTTGCCTCAGGGAGTGTATTGTGATATATTAACCGGGGTAAAGGAGAATAATGTTTGCACTGGTGGTCACATAGAGGTGGGTCAAGATGGCAAGGCTTTAGTGCAATTAGCTAAAGGACCTAAGGCTTTAGCTGTGTATTTAAAAGCTAAAATTTAATTTTAATGTATTATAAGGTTTTGCAAATAAAAATATATGGTGGCTAGATAAATTTTATTGTTTTTCTATGTTTGGTTTAGTATCCCAATAGACTCTTTTCATTGCCTGCATGATTTGTATTCGTTTTTATTTAATAAACCCTGTAGATTACGCTGACAAAGGAAAACATATGTTTTTTTTTAAAGCCCATTTGCTTAAACATTTTGGTTTATTTTGTACGAGGCTTGCCTTTAGTTTAACTGGCTTTTGAAGAAGTTTTCAATTTCTTGTTTGTTATTCCTATAAATTTGTCTTTATACCCTCGTAGAAAAATAATATATGGTTTTTGAATTACATTACGTTTTAAGTTTAAACTAATTAATTTATTCAATTGTGTTTGCCAGACAAAGCAATCACTCTGTAAAGGCGTGAGCGTAAATCTGTCTAAACTATGAGGAATAATATAATTAGGTTTCCAGAAAAACAAGCAGACATTTTAAATTAAACGCATTTAAAATTTAACAGTCTTCGACAGCACTTCAAAGTGTTAAGACTAGACAGCTAGTGAAGAATTTTCAAGTAGAGAAAACAAGTCCTGAAGATCCTGAAAACATTATAACCTTTAAGCTGTAAAAGACTGAACAAACCTATATGGCAGCCACAGCACCAGCAGCTTCTGCTGCAGCTCCAGCCCCAGCAGCAGTTGCAGCAGCCACTGCAGCACCCAAAAATCTAGTAGAAATTGCTGGTGAAGGAGCTTTCACCAACTACATGAAAAACCGCTTAAGACGTGGTGGCATGAAACGTAAAGGCATGCAAGTGGTTATGGGTCATAAGTTTCTAATAAGATTCTTCAAACAACCCACATATTGTGGTCATTGCAAGGACTTTATATGGTAAATAAAGAAAACATTTGTTTAGAGAGCGAAAAAATATTAAAAAAGAAAAATTTCCAACAGGGGCTTTGGCAAGCAGGGTTTTCAATGTGAAGGTGAGTTTCTACCAAAACATCACATATTACAAATTTAAGTTCTAAAACTTTCAGATTGTCGCTTTAATATTCATCAAAAATGTGTAAATTTTGTGGTGTTTAAATGTCCTGGCGCTGAGACTGATATTGATGCTGATTGTGCCAAAGTAAAGCATAGCTGGGTATCAACCACCTATTCGACTCCCACATTCTGTGATGACTGTGGTCTACTACTGCATGGTGTAGCTCATCAGGGAGTTAAGTGTGATAGTAAGTAGAAACTAAAACATTTCTTTGCAATTCCTTATTATCCTATATACCTCTACTAGACTGTAATTTAAACATACATCATGGCTGTAAGGATAAAATTCCACCATTTTGTGGTTCGGATATTGGTGAGATAAGAGGTAAATTGCTGTTATATGTTGAACTTAAGGGAAATTCTCTAAAGGTGGAAAGTGAGTATAAACAACTAAAAATCTCAAGAAACTAAAGTTACATCAATTTAATCCTTAAGTCAAAGAGGCTGCTAATCTAATACCTATGGATACTAATGGCCTTAGTGATCCCTATATAGCCGTGCAATTACATCCCGATCGCAGTGGCAAGACTAAAAAGAAGACCAAAACGATACAAAAGAATTTAAATCCAGTATTCAATGAAACTTTTACATTGTAAGTCTAATAATATCCTTTCTATTAGAAGCTTATTAACTTACAAATATTACAGTGATCTTACACCACCCGATCGTGAGAAACGTTTACTTATAGAAGTTTGGGATTGGGATCGTACCTCACGTAATGATTTTATGGGTTCATTTTCCTTTAGTATGGATGAGTTGCAAAAGGTTTGTCTCAAGCCAAAAACAAAATATGTAACACAAAGAGAAACTTAAACTGATAATCTATTGTATATTTCAGGAACCCATTGATGGTTGGTATAAATTTTTGTCGCAGGTAGAGGGTGAACATTACAATATACCTTGTACTGATCCTGTTAATGATATTGCACGCTTAAGAGATGAAGTTAGGGTAAGAAAAAGGGAAAGTTGCTGAGACTTTGATCAAATATTTTCTATGAAAATAATGATCAATAACTGATCAAATATTTACTGTGGAAATAATGATCAGTAACTGATCAAATATTTTCTATGAAAATAATGATCAGTAACTGATCAAATATATTCTATGAAAATAATGATCAGTAACTAATCAAATATTTTCTATGAAAATAAAGTGATTAGTAACTGGTCAAATATTTTCTATGAAAATAAAATGATCAGTAACTGATCAAATATTTTCTATGAAAATAATGATCAGTAACTGATCAAATATTTTCTATGAAAATAAAATGATCAGTAACTGATCAAATATTTTCTATGAAAATAAAATGATCAGTAACTGATCAAATATTTTCTATGAAAATAAAATGATCAGTAACTGATCAAATATTTTCTATGAAAATAAAATGATCAGTAACTGATCAAATATTTTCTATGAAAATAATGATCAGTAACTGATCAAATATTTTCTATGAAAATAATGATCAGTAACTGATCAAACATTTTCTATGAAAATAATGATCAGTAACTGATCAAATATTTTCTATGAAAATAATGATCAGTAACTGATCAAATATTTTCTATGAAAATAATGATCAGTAACTGATCAAATATTTTCTATGAAAATAATGATCACTAACTGATCAAATATTTTCTATGAAAATAATGATCAGTAACTGATCAAATATTTTCTATGAAAATAAAATGATCAGTAACTGATCAAATATTTTCTATGAAAATAAAATGATCAGTAACTGATCAAATATTTTCTATGAAAATAAAATGATCAGTAACTGATCAAATATTTTCTATGAAAATAATGATCAGTAACTGATCAAATATTTTCTATGAAAATAATGATCAGTAACTGATCAAATATTTTCTATGAAAATAAAATGATCAGTAACTGATCAAATATTTTCTATGAAAATAAAATGATCAGTAACTGATCAAATATTTTCTATGAAAATAAAATGATCAGTAACTGATCAAATATTTTCTATGAAAATAAAATGATCAGTAACTGATCAAATATTTTCTATGAAAATAAAATGATCAGTAACTGATCAAATATTTTCTATGAAAATAAAATGATCAGTAACTGATCAAATATTTTCTATGAAAATAAAATGATCAGTACTGATCAAATATTTTCTATGAAAATAAATGATCAGTAACTGATCAAATATTTTCTATGAAAATAAAATGATCAGTAACTGATCAAATATTTTCTATGAAAATAAAATGATCAGTAACTGATCAAATATTTTCTATGAAAATAAAATGATCAGTAACTGATCAAATATTTTCTATGAAAATAAAATGATCAGTAACTGATCAAATATTTTCTATGAAAATAAAATGATCAGTAACTGATCAAATATTTTCTATGAAAATAATGATCAGTTACTGATCAAATATTTTCTATGAAAATAATGATCAGTAAATGATCAAATATTTATATGATCAGTTACTTCTCTCACTTAAAACTTTGAAATTATTTTTACTTACAGCGTGAAAAACCCACTAATACACGTCGCATGGATAACAAAAATATGCCTCACAATATGAGCAAACGTGATATGATTAGGGCAGCCGATTTTAATTTCATTAAGGTTTTGGGCAAAGGTTCATATGGCAAGATACTATTGGCTGAGCGTCGTGGTACTGATGAACTATATGCTGTGAAAGTATTAAGGAAAGATGTTATCATACAAAGTGATGACATGGAATTGCCCATGATAGAGAAAAGTGTTTTGGCACTACCGGGTAAATCACCATTTTTGGTTTCACTACATTCTTGCTTCCAGACTATGGATCGTTTATTTTTTGTTATGGAGTATTGTAGGGGAGGAGATTTATTATTTCAATTGCAGAAATATGGCAGATTTAAAGAATCGGTGGCCATGTAGGTTAAAGTTTAGGAAATAAACACCATTTTCCTAGATTTTAAATTTTTCGGTCTTCCAGATTTTATGCCGTTGAGGTGGCATTGGCTTTATTCTTTTTACATGAACGTCGCATTATTTACCGGGATTTGAAATTGGATAATATTTTATTGGATTTGGAGGGCCATGTTAAGTTGACCGATTTTGGTTTATCTAAAGATGAAGTATCCGAAAATGATACTACTAATACTTTTTGTGGCACTAGTTCTTATATTGCTCCCGAGGTATATCTTTGATTAAATTAAACCAAAGACTTTTATAAAGTATATTTTATATATAAAATTCAACAGATATTAAACTTTGAACCTTATGGTCATCCAGCAGATTGGTGGTCTTATGGTGTCTTATTGTATGAAATGATGGCTGGTCAACAACCTTTTGAGGGCGATGATGATAATACCATTTTCAAGAATGCCAAAGAAAAGAAGGCCGTATTTCCGAAACATTTTACTCAAGAGTCAATGGATGTCATAACTAGCGTGAGTATAATTAAAGTAATTTTATAATTTTCAAAAAATTAATACTAAAAACAGTTCTTGGCCAAAAAACCTAACAACCGCTTGGGAGCTGGCCGCTTTGCTCGTTCGGAGATACAATCTCATCCCTTTTTTAAGGGTGTTGACTGGGAGGCGGCTGAGAATAAGGATTGGTTAGATCCTCCCATTGTGCCCCATATAGTGAGTAGAGTTTAGTAGCATTATTTAAATCTGCATTATAAAATTTTTTGTGTTTCATAGAAACATCGCAAAGATATTTCACATTTCGATCAAACTTTCACTCAAGAGAAAACCGATTTAACTCCTACCGATAAATTATTCATGATGAATTTGGATCAAAATGATTTTATTGGTTTTTCCTATATGAATCCGGAATTTATAACAATGATATAAAGTTAATTCAAGTATAATAAGTTTGATTATCAGAATTGAATATATATCTAAACTGAATATAAAAGTTATTATAAATAATGCTAACTATACTTTGTTTACTAAGAAAGAGAATTGGATCTTATTTGAAAGCTACTCACGATAAAACCTGATTGATAATTAATTGAACATAAAACTGACAACACCTTCTAAACAAAGATTCGAATTAGATTTTCTAGGAAAAAGATGACCAGAATCTGATCAGTATTTATTGTCGAAAGTTGTTCAGAGTCTGATCGACTTTTCTAATTCAGTTCCAGTTCAGTTCTAAATCAGTTCTAGTTCAGTTCTAGTTCAGTTCTAATTCAGTTCTAGTTCAGTTCTAGTTCAGTTCTAGTTCAGTTCTAATTCAGTTCTAGTTCAGTTCTAGTTCAGTTCTAGTTCAGTTCTAGTTCAGTTCTAGTTCAGTTCTAGTTCAGTTCTAGTTCAGTTCTAGTTCAGTTCTAGTTCAGTTCTAGTTCAGTTCTAGTTCAGTTCTAGTTCAGTTCTAGTTCAGTTCTAGTTCAGTTCTAGTTCAGTTCTAGTTCAGTTCTAGTTCAGTTCTAGTTCAGTTCTAGTTCAGTTCTAGTTCAGTTCTATTTCAGTTCTAGTTCAGTTCTAGTTCAGTTCTAGTTCAGTTCTAGTTCAGTTCTAGTTCAGTTCTATTTCAGTTCTAGTTCAGTTCTAGTTCAGTTCTAGTTCAGTTCTAGTTCAGTTCTAGTTCAGTTCTAGTTCAGTTCTAGTTCAGTTCTAGTTCAGTTCTAGTTCAGTTCTAGTTCAGTTCTAGTTCAGTTCTAGTTCAGTTCTAGTTCAGTTCTAGTTCAGTTCTAGTTCAGTTCTAGTTCAGTTCTAGTTCAGTTCTAGTTCAGTTCTAGTTCAGTTCTAGTTCAGTTCTAGTTCAGTTCTAGTTCAGTTCTAGTTCAGTTCTAGTTCAGTTCTAGTTCAGTTCTAGTTCAGTTCTAGTTCAGTTCTAGTTCAGTTCTAGTTCAGTTCTAGTTCAGTTCTAGTTCAGTTCTATTTCAGTTCTAGTTCAGTTCTAGTTCAGTTCTAGTTCAGTTCTAGTTCAGTTCTAGTTCAGTTCTAGTTCAGTTCTAGTTCTGTTCTAGTTCAGTTCTAGTTCAGTTCTAGTTCTAGTTCTAGTTCTGTTCTGTTCTAGTTCAGTTCTAGTTCAGTTCTAGTTCAGTTCTAGTTCAGTTCTAGTTCAGTTCTAGTTCAGTTCTAGTTCAGTTCTAGTTCAGTTCTAGTTCAGTTCTAGTTCAGTTCTAGTTCAGTTCTAGTTCAGTTCTAGTTCAGTTCTATTTCAGTTCTAGTTCAGTTCTAGTTCAGTTCTAGTTCAGTTCTAGTTCAGTTCTAGTTCAGTTCTAGTTCTGTTCTAGTTCAGTTCTAGTTCAGTTCTAGTTCAGTTCTAGTTTAGTTCTAGTTCAGTTCTAGTTCAGTTCTAGTTCAGTTCTAGTTCAGTTCTAGTTCATTTCTAGTACAGTTCTAGTTCAGTTCTAGTTCAGTTCTAGTTCAGTTCTAGTCAGTTCTAGTCAGTTCTAGTTCAGTTCTAGTTCAGTTCTAGTTCAGTTCTAGTTCAGTTCTAGTTCAGTTCTAGTTCAGTTCTAGTTCAGTTCTAGTCAGTTCTAGTTCAGTTCTAGTTCAGTTCTAGTTCTGTTCTAGTTCAGTTCTAGTTCAGTTCTAGTTCAGTTCTATTTCAGTTCTAGTTCAGTTCTATTTCAGTTCTAGTTCAGTTCTAGTTCAGTTCTAGTTCAGTTCTAGTTCAGTTCTAGTTCAGTTCTAGTTCAGTTCTAGTTCTGTTCTAGTTCAGTTCTAGTTCTAGTTCTGTCTAGTTTATCGTTCAGTTCTAGTTCAGTTCTAGTTCAGTTCTAGTTCAGTTCTAGTTCAGTTCTAGTTCAGTTCTAGTTCAGTTCTAGTTCAGTTCTAGTTCAGTTCTAGTTCAGTTCTAGTTCAGTTCTAGTTCAGTTCTAGTTCAGTTCTAGTTCAGTTCTAGTTCAGTTCTAGTTCAGTTCTAGTTCAGTTCTAGTTCAGTTCTAGTTCAGTTCTAGTTCAGTTCTAGTTCAGTTCTAGTTCAGTTCTAGTTCAGTTCTAGTTCAGTTCTAGTTCAGTTCTAGTTCAGTTCTAGTTCAGTTCTAGTTCAGTTCTAGTTCAGTTCTAGTTCAGTTCTAGTTCAGTTCTAGTTCAGTTCTAGTTCAGTTCTAGTTCAGTTTCTAGTTCAGTTCTAGTTCAGTTCTAGTTCAGTTCTAGTTCAGTTCTAGTTCAGTTCTAGTTCAGTTCTAGTTCAGTTCTAGTTCGTTCGTTCAGTTCTAGTTCAGTTCTAGTTCTAGTTCTGTTCTGTTCTAGTTCAGTTCTAGTTCAGTTCTAGTTCAGTTCTAGTTCAGTTCTAGTTTTCAGTTCTAGTTCAGTTCTAGTTCAGTTCTAGTTCAGTTCTAGTTCAGTTCTAGTTCAGTTCTAGTTCAGTTCTAGTTCAGTTCTAGTTCAGTTCTAGTTCTAGTTCTAGTTCAGTTCTAGTTCAGTTCTAGTTCAGTTCTGTTCTAAGTTCTAGTTCAGTTTCTAGTTCAGTTCTAGTTCAGTTCTAGTTCAGTTCTAGTTCAGTTCTAGTTCAGTTCTAGTTCAGTTCTAGTTTCAGTTCTAGTTCAGTTCTAGTTCAGTTCTAGTTCGTTCTAGTTCAGTTCTAGTTCAGTTTCTAGTTCAGTTCGTAGTTCAGTTCTAGTTTCAGTTTCTAGTTCCGTTCTAGTTCAGTTCTAGTTCAAGTTCTAGTTGTCTAGTATCTAGTTCCGTTCTGTCTAGTTCAGTTCTAGTTCAGTTCTAGTTTCATTTCTAGTTACAGTTCTAGTTCAGTTCTAGTTCAGTTCTAGTTTCAGTTCTAGTTCAGTTCTAGTTCAGTTCTAGTTCAGTTCTCGTTCAGTTCTAGTTTCCAGGTTTCTAGTTCAGTTCTAGTTCAGTTCTAGTTCAGTTCTAGTTCAGTGTAAGTTCTAGTTCAGTTCTAGTTCAGTTCTAGTTCAGTTCTAGTTCAGTTCTAGTCGTTCTAGTTCAGTTCTAGTTCAGTTCTAGTTCAGTTCTAGTTCAGTTCTAGTTCAGTTCTAGTTCAGTTCTAGTTCAGTTCTAGTTCAGTTCTAGTTCAGTTCTAGTTCAGTTCTAGTTCAGTTCTAGTTCAGTTCTAGTTCAGTTCTAGTTCAGTTCTAGTTCAGTTCTAGTTCAGTTCTAGTTCAGTTCTAGTTCAGTTCTAGTCAGTTCTAGTTCAGTTCTAGTTCAGTTCTAGTTCAGTTCTAGTTCAGTTCTAGTTCAGTTCTAGTTCAGTTCTAGTTCAGTTCTAGTTCAGTTCTAGTTCAGTTCTAGTTCAGTTCTAGTTCAGTTCTAGTTCAGTTCTAGTTCAGTTCTAGTTCAGTTCTAGTTCAGTCTAGTTCAGTTCTAGTTCAGTTCTAGTTCAGTTCTAGTTTAGTTCTAGTTCAGTTCTAGTTCAGTTCTAGTACAGTTCTAGTTCAGTTCTAGTTCAGTTCCTGTTCAGTTCTAGTTATGGGACATTTGAAGACTCAAATTTTAGAAACAAATTGCTCTAACTATAATTTTTTACCGTGAGTCATGATAGTGTATTTGCCCTAACAGCTAGATTACGTGGATTTACATGTAAAAAAACTTAAATGCTTGTAAGAAAAAATGTCTAGTTTGAATTTATACAATTTTGTGCTGCAATCATATGAGGGGACTAATATGTAGAAGAAAAATGGTTCAGTGATTTGAAAATTGTTTGAAACCGTGAACCTTGCATTATAATTTTTTATTTAGACCCTGTTGAAAATAAAACACTTGTACTTTCATTTAATTTACCCAAACTGTAAACGTTGACCCCAGGTAAGCCAATTAATTTAACCTCTATATATAGACAAACAGACCATATGAATGGACAAGAAACACCTTAAACTTATTTAAGGCTAAATTTTACAAAAACAATTGTTTAGAAAACTGCAGTTTTAAGGTTTCCAGAAAAGTAGAAATTTTAAATGTAAAATAAACAGCAACCACAGTCATTATTTGACCAACGAAGAAAGCAGACTAGAAAGCTTAAGAAATAGTTTCAAATAGAAAAAAAAAACAGGAAAAAGGATTTTAAACTAGAATTATTGGATTAAAATAAAAATGGCAGCAGCAGCACCGGCAGCTGGAGCACCAGCCGCAGCAGCGGCAGGAGCAGCTGGGGTACCAAAAAATCTAGTGGAAATTGCAGGAGAGGCCAATATCACTAATTATATGAAAAATCGTTTAAGACGTGGTGGCATGAAACGTAAAGGCATGCAAATTGTTAATGGCCATAAATTTGTGGTGAGATTTTTCAAACAGCCCACATATTGTGGCCATTGTAAGGATTTTATTTGGTAAGCAGGATATGCAAAATTTGTGTAACAAAACACTAATTCAATTAAATTTTCTGCGTAACACAATAATAACAGGGGTTTTGGTAAACAGGGTTTCCAATGTGAAGGTATAGTTTAGTGAAAAATTTTTAACAATTCATAAAATATTAAAAATTGGTTTCTGAAATTCTTAGACTGTCGTTTTAATATTCATCAAAAATGTGTGAATTTTGTGGTGTTTAAATGTCCTGGAACTGAGACAGACATTGATGGTGATTGTGCTAAGGTAAAGCATTCTTGGATTTCTACCACCTATTCGGCTCCTACATTTTGTGATGATTGTGGTCTTCTACTGCATGGTGTCGCTCATCAAGGAGTCAAATGTGACAGTAAGTAGTTATCTCAAGCATTCTAAAGTATTAAGCTCTATATGATTATTTAACTTTCCTCAAGACTGTAATCTTAATGTCCATCATGGCTGTAAGGATAAGGTGCCACCACTTTGTGGTTCGGATATTAGTGAAATCAGAGGAAAATTATTGCTATATGTAGAACTTAAAGGCAATAGTTTGAAAGTGGAAAGTAAGTATTTCCCATTCATTCAAAATTTATTTACAAAAACATTTCAACTCTTTCAATTTAGTCAAGGAGGCTGCTAATCTAATACCCATGGATACTAATGGCCTTAGTGATCCTTATATAGCAGTGCAATTACATCCCGATCGCAGTGGCAAGACTAAAAAGAAGACCAAAACTATTCAAAAGAATTTAAATCCAGTATTCAACGAAACTTTTACATTGTAAGTGTAAATAGTAAGACCAACTTCTTAAAAGAAACTTAATTTTTTTTTAAATGATTACAGTGATATAACACCACCGGATCGTGAGAAACGTTTACTGGTAGAAGTTTGGGATTGGGATCGTACATCACGTAATGATTTTATGGGTTCATTTTCCTTTAGTTTGGATGAGATTCAAAAGGTAGTTTAAAAAAGCTTGATTCTATTTATTTCTTTCTATTTATTTGATATTTCATTCCAGGAACCCATTGATGGTTGGTATAAATTTTTGTCTCAGGTTGAGGGCGAACATTACAATATACCTTGCAGTGATCCAGTCAATGATATTGCACGTTTGAGGGATGAAGTTAGGGTAAGTAAAAGGGTTTTTTAATGAAAAAAATATTTTTATGAAAAAAATAGCTGAGAATTTGATCAACTTTTCGATGACAAGAAGGTTGAGCTTATGAACAAATTTAATACGACAAAGATGATCAGACATTGGTCAACATTGATCCATTTTTCTATGAAAATGTTATCAGATACTGATCATCTTTTCCATGATAAAGTATAAAGATATTGATAAACTTATACTGAAGTAGAACTAAACTAGAACTGAACTAAAACTGAACTAGAACTGAACTAGAACTGAACTAGAACTTGAACTGAACTAGAACTGAACTAGAACTGAACTAGAACTGAACTAGAACTGAACTAGAACTGAACTAGAACTGAACTAGAACTGAACTAGAACTGAACTAGAACTGAACTAGAACTGAACTAGAACTGAACTAGAACTGAACTAGAACTGAACTAGAACTGAACTAGAACTGAACTAGAACTGAACTAGAACTGAACTAGAACTGAACTAGAACTGAACTAGAACTGAACTAGAACTGAACTAGAACTGAACTAGAACTGAACTAGAACTGAACTAGAACTGAACTAGAACTGAACTAGAACTGAACTAGAACTGAACTAGAACTGAACTAGAACTGAACTAGAACTGAACTAGAACTGAACTAGAACTGAACTAGAACTGAACTAGAACTGAACTAGAACTGAACTAGAACTGAACTAGAACTGAACTAGAACTGAACTAGAACTGAACTAGAACTGAACTAGAACTTGAACTAGAACTGAACTAGAACTGAACTAGAACTGAACTAGAACTGAACTAGAACTGAACTAGAACTGAACTAGAACTGAACTAGAACTGAACTAGAACTGAACTAGAACTGAACTAGAACTGAACTAGAACTGAACTAGAACTGAACTAGAACTGAACTAGAACTGAACTAGAACTGAACTAGAACTGAACTAGAACTGAACTAGAACTGACTAGAACTGAACTAGAACTGAACTAGAACTGAACTAGAACTGAACAGAACTGAACTAGAACTGAACTAGAACTGAACTAGAACTGAACTAGAACTGAACTAGAACTGAACTAGAACTAGAACTGAACTAGAACTAGAACTGAACTAGAACTGAACGAGAACTGAACTAGAACTGAACTAGAACTGAACTAGAACTGAACTAGAACTGAACTAGAACTGAACTAGAACTGAACTAGAACTGAACTAGAACTGAACTAGAACTGACTAGAACTGAACTAGAACTGAACTAGAACTTGAACTAGAACTGAACTAGAACTGAACTAGAACTGAACTAGAACTGAACTAGAACTGAACTAGAACTGAACTAGAACTGAACTAGAACTGAACTAGAACTGAACTAGAACTGAACTAGAACTGAACTAGAACTGAACTAGAACTGAACTAGAACTGAACTAGAACTGAACTAGAACTGAACTAGAACTGAACTAGAACTGAACTAGAACTGAACTAGAACTGAACTAGAACTGAACTTGAACTGAACTAGAACTGAACTAGAACTGAACTAGAACTGAACGAGAACTGAACGAGAACTGAACGAGAACTGAACTAGAACTGAATTAGAACTGAACTAGTACTGAACTAACTAGTAACTGATAAAATATTTTCTATGAAAAGTGTTGATCAGTTACTCACCAAATATTTTCTTTGAAAAGTGTTGATCATTTACTAAGCAAATATTTTCTATGAAAATATTTATCAATTATGGATCTGTCAACTGAACTTTCAAATCGTTTTTACTTATAGCGCGAAAAACCCGCCAATACACGTCGCATGGACAACAAGGATATGCCTCATAATATGAGCAAACGTGATATGATTAGGGCAGCCGATTTTAATTTCATTAAGGTCTTAGGCAAAGGTTCATATGGCAAAATACTCTTGGCTGAGCGCCGTGGTACTGATGAACTGTATGCCGTTAAAGTTTTAAGAAAAGATGTCATCATACAGTCCGATGATATGGAATTGCCCATGATTGAGAAGAGTATTTTGGCTTTACCCGGCAAATCACCATTTTTGGTTTCACTACACTCATGCTTTCAGACTATGGTAAGCGAGTGGTGCTATATAAAGTTTAGATTTAGTTTTAAGGTTTGTGTGTTTTCAGGATCGTTTATTCTTTGTTATGGAGTATTGCAAGGGTGGAGATTTACTATATCATATGCAACAATATGGTAGATTTAAAGAATCGGTGGCCATGTAGGTTTAGGATTTCAACATAGATTATATTTTATTGGAATTAAAATGGTTTGTTTTTCCAGATTTTATGCCGTTGAGGTGGCTTTGGCTTTATTCTTTTTACATGAACGTCGTATTATTTATCGTGATTTGAAATTGGATAATATTTTGCTGGATATGGAGGGTCATGTCAAGTTAACCGATTTTGGTTTATCCAAGGATAATATGGCTGAAAATGATACTACAAAGACATTTTGTGGCACTAGTTCTTATATGGCTCCAGAGGTAAGTTTAAAAATGATTAAGAAGTTTTTATTGCAAATTTCTTTTAACAACTTAAAGATTATCTTGTGTGAACCCTATAACCACACTGTTGACTGGTGGGCATATGGCGTTTTATTATATGAAATGATGGCTGGTCAACAGCCTTTTGAGGGCGATGATGATAATACCATTTTCAAGAATGCCAAAGAAAAGAAGGCAGTATTTCCCAAACATTTTACTCAAGAGTCAATGGATATTATAACTAGCGTAAGTCATGTTATTATACAATTGTCTAAAAGAACAATGTTTATTTAAACTGTTATTCTAGTTCTTGGCTAAGAAACCCAACAACCGCTTAGGAGCGGGCAGATTTGCCCGTACCGAGATACAAACTCATCCCTTTTACCAGGGTGTTGATTGGGAAATGGCTGAAGCTAAAGATTGGATTGATCCACCCATTGTGCCAAATATAGTAAGCATTTTTATTTGAAATGTTTAAAACTTTAATTTGAATTTAATGTTTTTTTATAATTTCTTTCAGAAACATCGCAAGGATATTGGTAATTTTGATCAAACTTTCACCAAGGAGAAAACTGACTTAACTCCTACCGATAAATTGTTTATGATGAATTTGGATCAAAATGATTTCATTGGCTTTTCCTATATGAATCCGGAATTTATAACAATGATATAAAATTGTAAACAATTTTGGAAAAAAATAAGTTTTAACATGAAATTTTCAAAAAATTATAAATTAAATACAGTTTAACAATTAGCTATTAAAAGTATTTAAAGAAATAAAGAAGTTAAAAAAAGTAAAGCATATAAAAATATCCAAAAGTTTTTTAACATACTTTGTTCGGTAAAAGCTTCTACTTACTCAGTTCGAAATTACACACAAAATAAAGCTTAGAAATATAAAAGCAGAAACATTGTAAAGCTTTTCCATATATTACAGACACAATCCATTTATTTTACTTGCTTGTAAAAGTTAAGAAAGCTGTAGATTAAAATATTTTTAACAGAAAAGCTTTTTTACATGATTTCCAGTGTGTTGAATTACATTAAGCATTTTATTTTATAACAGTAATCTCTCTAAGTTAACAACCTAAAGGCATTGCCATTTATACTTTCAACATAGACACGGACCTTTAAAAGAAAGCTTAAAGGTGCCCTGTCAGTAGATAGTAAAGTAGCAAAATTTAAGGTATTTAAAGCTCTTGTATTTATGAAAATGCTGACCAGATAGTGAACAAGTTTTCTATAGAAAACATTGATCAGAAAGTGATCTAGTTTTCTATACGGAAAATATTGATCAGAATCCGATAAAGTCTGGACTATAGACTATGAACTGAACTATAGACTGGACTATAGTCTGAACTATGGATTGGACTATGAACTGAACTATAGACTGGATTATCGACTGGACTATAGACTGGACTATAGACTGGACTATAGACAGGACTATAGACTAGACTATAGACTAGACTATAGACTAGACTATAGACTAGACTAATAGACTAGACTAGACTATAGACTAGACTATAGACTAGACTATAGACTAGACTATAGACTAGACTATAGACTAGACTATAGACTAGACTATAGACTAGACTATAGACTAGACTATAGGACTAGACTATAGACTAGACTATAGACTAGACTATAGACTAGACTATAGACTAGACTATAGACTAGACTATAGACTAGACTATAGACTAGACTATAGACTAGACTATAGACTAGACTATAGACTAGACTATTAGACTAGACTATAGACTAGACTATAGACTAGACTATAGACTAGACTATAGACTAGACTATAGACTAGACTATAGACTCGACTATAGACTAGACTATAGACTAGACTATAGACTAGACTATAGACTAGACTATAGACTAGACTATAGACTAGACTATAGACTAGACTATAGACTAGACTATAGACTAGACTATAGACTAGACTATAGACTAGACTATAGACTAGACTATAGACTAGACTATAGGACTAGACTATAGACTAGACTATAGACTAGACTATAGACTAGACTATAGACTAGACTATAGACTAGACTATAGACTAGACTATAGACTAGACTATAGACTAGACTATAGACTAGACTATAGACTAGACTATAGACTAGACTATAGACTAGACTATAGACTAGACTATAGACTAGACTATAGACTAGACTATAGACTAGACTATAGACTAGACTATAGACTAGACTATAGACTAGACTATAGACTAGACTAGACTATAGACTAGACTATAGACTAGACTATAGACTAGACTATAGACTAGACTATAGACTAGACTATAGACTATAGACTAGACTATAGACTAGACTATAGACTAGACTATAGACTATAGACTAGACTATAGACTAGACTATAGACTAGACTATAGACTAGTCTATAGACTAGACTATAGACTAGACTATAGACCAGACTATAGACTAGACTATAGACCAGACTATAGACTAGACTATAGACTAGATTAAAGACCAGACTATAAACTACACTATAGACCAGACTATATACTAGACTATAATGTAATCTATTTACTATATTTACTATTGCTTCTTCCACAGTTTGTCATGGAAAATTATTGGCAAAAAAAAATTATAATAAAATAAAGTACTATTTTGTTTATTTATTGTTTCATTTTGTACAGAAAAATAAAATAAAATATTAATTTGTTTATAAATAGTTTGCAAATAAAAAACAAAACTCAACAACAACTCTAACAATTGATCAAAAACAATTAAAAGTTTGTTTTTCAATTGTTGAAAAACTACAAAATATTGACAAAGACTACAACTAGAACTAATAATAAATTAATTGAATTTAATAATCAAAAAGCTCTATATTACAACAATTAGAAAGCTAAACAATTGTTTTAACATTTACTACCGCAATATCGATTTTTATCTTAAAAACAACAAAATTTTTCATATAAAATGCTTAACTCTAGCGGAGAAGCTAATAGTTTATTATAAACTTTATAACATGAGACAGGTTTTGAAATATATTTTAGTTTTGGTGGCCGGTTTCGGATTACTGAAAGCTCAAAAGGAACCACATTTTGTGGATAATCGTACAACTATAGTGCATTTGTTTGAATGGACCTGGTCGGATATAGCCAAGGAGTGTGAGGATTTCTTAGGTCCTCAAGGCTATGGAGGAGTGCAGGTTTGTGGAGACTACCTAAAGCTGAAATTTTTTGTTTAATTAGGATATTATTTTTCCTCTAGATTTCTCCCCCCAATGAGGTCAGCGATATAGAGGGAGGTCCTTGGTGGGCTCGCTATCAACCAGTATCCTATATACTCATCTCCAGATCAGGTGATGATAATGATTTAGCTGATATGATTAAACGCTGTAATGATGTGGGTGTTCGCATTTACGTGGATATTGTTGTTAACCATATGACCGGCTATAAAGAAGGTGAAACTTATGGTACTGCCGGTTCTTCGGCCAATTACGGTGAAAGCAGTTATCCTGCTGTGCCTTATGGCAAAGAAGACTTTCATGCTCCCTGTGATATACAAGATTATCAAAATGCTGAACAAGTTAGAAATTGTCAATTGGTCACTTTAATTGATTTAGATCAAAGTGTACCACATGTAAGGGAAATGATTGTGAATTATTTGAATAAATTGGTGGATATGGGCGTGGCTGGTTTTCGTATGGATGCTGCTAAACATATGTGGCCTGAGGATTTGGAAGCTATTTATGCTGATTTGAATGATTTAAATGAAGATTTTGGCTTTGCAGCCAATTCAAGACCTTATATCTATCAAGAGGTTATTGATTTGGGTGGAGAGGCCGTCAAAAAGTAAGTAAAAGTCGGAAAGTTTCTCAACTATATATATACAAAAGTAATCTGTTGGGACAATAGGAACATAAGAAACTTTTTCTAAAGAAAAATTATCTGTTGTAGGAGAAAAGTAGTCTGTTGTCAGAGCAACTTTATATATATAATAATGGTCCTATTTCATATTTCCAGAACCGAATATAATCACCTGGGCGCTGTTACCGAATTCAAATTCTCCAATGAAATTGGTCGCCTTTTCCGCAATAAAAATTCTTTAAAATATTTAAGAAACTGGGGTCCTGAATGGAGCATGTTACCTTCTGAAGATGCCATAGTATTTGTCGACAATCATGATAACCAAAGAGGACATGGGGCTGGCGGAGCTGATATTTTAACCTACAAGGAACCAGAACTTTATAAATTAGCTTTGACCTTTATGTTGGCTCATCCTTATGGCAAAGTTACACGGGTAATGAGTTCTTATGCTTTCACCGATACCGATCAGGGACCACCTATAACCGAGGAGGGCAACATAAGAGCTCCTGAATATTTGGAAAATCAATTATGTGATACTGATAATGTGGGTTGGGTGTGTGAACATCGTTGGCCGGAAGTACATCAAATGGTTAAATTCCGTAATGTGGTAGGTCAAGAGCCCTTGGAGAACTGGTGGGAGAATGGAGAAAATCAAATTGCTTTCTCACGTGGCAATTTGGGATTTGTGGCTTTTAATTTGGAAGAGGATATAGAGCTTAAAGCTTTACTACAGACTGGTTTGCCTCATGGCACTTATTGCGATATTTTGTCGGGTTCTAAACAAGATAACCGTTGTACTGGTCTGATGGTGCATGTCAATGAGCAGGGTTTGGCAGAGATTGTTTTACCTGAAGGACATCAGGCTTTGGCTATTTATATTGATTCAAAATTGGATTGCGAAAAACATGATTTTTAATCACTTTTAGACAACCAGTGTGAACGCTTTAAAGATTTTCTTTATTTTTTTAAATTTGTTGTTGTTTTATTAACTTAAATAAAAATTCTTATCAGTTGTTTATATTTCAGTTTTAATTAAATCAAAATTTTTTTAAATTATTAATTAGTCGCTTGTTAGCACTTGAGGCTTGAATACACAAACATCTAGCTCTAAGATGTTTAAAATATTTCAAATAGTTTTCGTATTTATAACTGTTTATTGCACTTTTTGGGTAAAGTGTCAAAAAGAACCACATTTTCTAGGAAATCGCTCTAGTATAGTGCATCTTTTCGAGTGGACTTGGCGTGATATAGCCAAAGAATGTGAAGATTTTTTGGGTCCTCAGGGGTATGGGGGTGTGCAGGTAAGTTTGTTTTAGCAGTAAAGATAAGAATCTATATAAACACTCTCTCTGTCTCTATAGATTTCTCCTCCTAATGAAGTGCGTGAGATAGAGGGTAATCCCTGGTGGGCACGTTATCAGCCACTCTCTTATATACTCACTTCCCGTTCGGGTAATCAAGCTGACTTAAGCAATATGATAGAACGTTGCCATAAAGCTGGTGTACGCATTTACGTAGACATAGTAATGAATCATATGACTGCTTATGCTGAGGGCGATTCTATTGGCACAGCCGGTTCACGCTGTAATTACAATAAACGTACTTATCCAGCGGTACCCTATGGTTCCAATGATTTTCATACTCCATGTAATATAAAAAATTATCAAAATGCTTCCGAAGTAAGAAATTGTCAATTAAATACTCTATTGGATTTAAATCAAACTATACCTCATGTACGTGACATGATTATCAATTACATGAATAAATTGGTGGATTTAGGAGTGGCTGGTTTTCGTATCGATGCTGCTAAACATATGTGGCCAGCAGATTTACAGATTATTTATGGCAGATTAAA